AAGGATAAATTATATGGGGCACTTGCTGATCTGGAGACCACAGTCCAGTTTATACACGAAGTTGGGCTTGTTGTCTAAATCCTCCACCATATTCTCAATTAACAACGAAGAAGAAGAAATAAAAAGTATTTTAGGAAATAGCGACCTATCAGGCAAAAGAAGTAGAGTTTATTATTTTGTGACATTGACAAAGGAAGTATAGTAAGCAACACGCCTAACCGCGTTTTTGTCCCCAACGTGATTTAAGTACCCGCCAGAACTGAGTGGACTCAGGGACATCCTACAGTCACAAGTCTAAAACGAGATCCGTACTAGAGCTCTTCGGCCTAATAGCCAAAACGAATTTAAAATAAACCGGGAGAGATCTCACCAAAACTTTCTCGAATATTCTTATATGACACTACGGGAGAATTTACATGCGTGTTTTGAGAAATCGGAAATAGCGTAAATTACTACTTCCGGTTAACGGAAGTTACTCAAAATTTTGAAAGAAGACAGAGAATTAGATATTTTTTTTTACATTTGAAATTTCATTTATCGATCTGAAATAGTCTCAAGTTATAGGCTTTTGAAAAATTGAAAGTAGAATAAGTTCCTTTTCCGGTTATCGGAAATCGCTCAAAAGTTGATACGGATCTACAAATTTGATAAAATACTTATAAATGAAATTTTATCAACCTAGCTATTACGGCACTCAAGTTATCGTGTTTACAGACACATACACACACAGACATACGGACAAGATTGCAAAATTAGGTTTTTCCGACTCAGGGAGGTGCAAAATGTCGAGATTTGGAAAATCTCGATTTTTTTTCACGGAAACAATACTTTCTTTACACTCTGTATACGAGAAAGTAAAAATATATACCACAAAACCCTATCTCAACAAAGATTCTAAGGAACATAACTAAGAAATAATTTTTAACGAAATGGTTGCGCACCCTTTTTATTATTATTTTTTTTTTTACAATATGCTGGACTATCAATGATCGATTTAATAAAAATTTTGAAAATCTATGTTTTTTGAAAAAAAAAATACAAATGCATTTGTGCATACAGCATTTAAACTGTTTAATTATGAGCATTCAAATAATTGAAAAATCATCAATTATTAAAATTTAGTTGACCATACAAAAACATGAACAGTGTTTTGAAGCAGTGTTTCTTCCAGACTTTTTTCTCCGGGGGGGCACTTGAAATCTTCGGGGGGGGCGGTAAACTTTCTTCGGGGGGGCGGACACTGTTAAAAGTATATATTTTCTATATAAATTATATAAATTTCATTTCGTTCGGGGGGGCGGTAAAAATTTTTCGGGGGGGGCAAAACCCCCCCGAAGAGATGCCTGGAAGAAACTCTGTTTTGAAGATAGATTTTAAAAATTTAAGAAAACAAACATTTAACAACTTTATAATAGTATTATTAACAATACAAAACTAATATGTAATGCGAACGGAAATTATAGATTTTATTTTTGAAGTCGTGTCAATAATAAAATTAAAGTTTAGTGATTTTTTAAAATAATACTTAAGGGACGTAACTAAGAAATACGTATAAACGAAAAACATGGTTGCGTACCTTTTTACTTTTAATTCAGTTGCAATAATTATGCTGGGCCATCAATGATGAATAATAAAACATTAAACATCTATTTTTTTAAATACATATACAATTGTGAATAAAACATTTAAACTGTATAATCAACGACATTCAAATAATCGGAAAATTCCCACACATTAAAAAATTAGTCGACCATTGAAAACACAAAAAGTAGTTTTTTAAAATACATTTTAAAATATGAGAAAGCTTACATGTAACAACTTTACAATAACAACATTAACAATACAAAAGTAATAGTAAGATTTAAAGCGAAGCGAAATGATTGATTTTATTCTTGAAGTTGGGTCGATAATATAAATAAAGAATGGTATTTTAGAATTACTGTATTCTAGAATACAACATATCACAATGCATAGTATAGTGCGTCTCATTAAATAATCATAAGTGAATGTACAGTAAGGACCGTGTTGTCAACTGTAGAGCGAACGACTTCTAACCCGAAAATCTCGAGTTATAATCCCGGACACTATACAGTAAGATTTCCATAGGTCCACCCAACTCTAATTGGTGCCTGATTAACAAATGGATTCTATTTCTACTGCCACATTAGCCCTTATGTTCGATATTTTACCTAATGTTTTTGTAACTTACTGTAGTTCAAATCTACATAAAGCCATATTTGTTGTTTTTTCTATAGTTTCATCTCAATGTAGGCTATATAATTTGTTATATTTAAACTTTTTATTTTTTTTATAAATTGTAACACGTAACTACTATTAAACTGCATGTTCTGTATACTATAAGCTCAGCTCCAATAATATTTTAATTTGAGTACATTAAAAATAAACCGGTAGTGATCTCCCCTAAACTCGAATATTCTTACATAAAACAACAGGGGATGGTAACTGGGGATATAGTTATGATTTTAAATCCATTTTAAATACTGAAACTTTTAAAAATAGAATAGAATCTCAGTAAAAAACAATTGCGCACCAAGCGAACGCCTAATAAAGGTGTGTATAATAGTGCGCAATAGTATTAGTACTTATAAATTAACATTAGTTTTTTGAGAAATCGGAAGTAGCGTAAATTACTACTTCCGGTCAACGGAAATTACTCAAAATTTAACAGAAGGTAGAGAGTTAGATCTTTTACTTACATGTGAAATTTCATGTATCTATCTGAAATAGTACTCAAGTTATAGGCTTTTGAAAAATTCAAAGTAGAAAAAGTACCACTTCCGGTTGTCGGAAATCGCTCAAAAGTTGATACGGATCTACGATTTTGATAAAATACTTATATATGAAATTTCATCAACCTAGCTGTAACGGTACTCAAGTTATCGTGTTTACACACGGACAGACACACACACAGACACACACACACAGACATACGGACAAGATTGCAAAATTATGTTTTTCCGTATCAGTGAGGTGTAAAACGTCGAGATTTGTAAAAATCTCGATTTTTTTTTTTTGCACGATTACAATACTTTCTCTATACTACGTATATACGAGAAAGTAAAAACAGAACTTAAAAGTCGCAGTAAATAATGTAACTAAACCTAGCTATCAAGCGAATGGAATGTTTAATTTAACTACACGAAATTGTTTATATTAATCCCGTGATTAAATCTAAACCATTAAGTCACGGCAATACTAGACAATAGAGATAACATACTTTATCATATTTTTAGTGTTTACACATCTTATAGTTAAATTAATTAAAATTGTTATCAGGTAACCATTTAAGTTAAAATTTATTTTTTATCTTTAAAATCCTAACAGAACACTAAAAACCCGGGTCATGGTTTGTTAATATCAAACACAGTTCCTACACTGCCCTACCCTCACAATCAAAGCATTCTTTGGTCCGCTTCCTCTTTCTCCCGGTCGTATGAAAACCCACTTTCAATTTTTTGACAATTAAGTCCTGATTGTCAGACAATAAAAAAAAAATTCTTGTTCACTCTAGCCGTAATTAAACTGCACATGCCTACGTGGTTTACCACTTCCTGAATCGTCAAACGGATTTTTGTGGAAAATAAATTATTATATAGGCCTATATATATATATATATATATATATATATATATATATATATATATATATATATATATATTTAAATCTCAAACGGTTTTTTCTGTCTCTGTATGTATGTGAAAGCGGACGGATGGACCCTTGGTAAAAGAGGAATCTATTAAAAAAAAACTCAATTTGATCGCCATAGTGTAATACACATAAAATATTTATTATCTAAATTAATGATTGAAAAAATAATGTGGATAGTTTTGTAAAACAAGTTTCAATGTCCAAACTAACAATTTTAATTAACGTCACATGGTATAAATAAAGTCAAAGAAAATGTATCATCCTTCACAAAACATTGAAAAGCGTATAATTTTTTTATTTACCTTTAAAAAAATTACATTGCGTAAATAAAACCTTCTTATTAGTTTGTTTTGGTGTTGTAAAAAAAATAATTATATAATTACCATTGATTAATAAAGTGCAATGTGGTAGGTAAAACAAGGATATTTTAATTACTGCCTTTTATTTATTTTATACACAGAATGTACTGTTTTCAAATTATTATTTTTAATCAACAACAGTTTATAAGCCCCTATTTGGTATCCCGGGCCTTCCCGTGAGAATTATGGCGCCTACGTTCGGTTCAAACTGTGCGATAGATTATAGATAAGATTGAGTATTTTAGTCGTTTGCTTAGTTGAATCAGGTGGTTCCGCCGGTGCCCCGGTAGGGTACGGTTTGGCGCACCCGGATATACTGTGTTTGCGTTGCGTTTGTGTTTTTGTTTGTGTTGGCGTTTATGTTTGTTTTTGTGTTTATGCTTGTGTTTGCGTTGCGTGTTTTCTTTTGTGTTTGCCTTACGTTTGTGTTTGTGTTTGTTTATTTTTGTACTTTTTTTTGGTTGGTTGTGGTTAGGGTTAATTAGAAAAGTATATATTTGCTAAACTCAGGCAAAGAAGGGTATATGATGCTTAATTAACTAACAAAATATGGTCCTTTACTAATAGGTTTTTTTTACAGAGGGCAGTGCCTGGCCGAGACGGCTAGTATATATATATATAATATATATATATATATATATATATATATATATATATATATATATATATATATATATATATATATATACATATATATATATATATACATATATATATATATATATATATATATATATATATATATATATATAGTATACGTATATATTGCTATTTATATTGTCTCGGTCAGTTCCTCAAGGATGTAATTTAATTTATTAGATCTTCGCTAGACGGAAATATTAAGGAGATTGACTTTTCAGTTAACAATTGATAATACAATGATTTGTTTTATTTTTTTAAATGTATTTCTTGTTATTCAGGGTATTTTGCAATCTAAAATTATGTAAACAGTATGACTAAAGACATCAATGCTTATATATTATCATCTAAATGATACATGTCAAACATATATTGCAGCTCACTACACGGGACTCTCCATTCCCGGTTCCTATCTGAATGTTGTTGAGTATTCTCAGATATATTCTTCACATGGCTCCTGTAGGCTTGACATACATTGTAATTAAAAATCCTTTTGACGATGGCTAAGCTATCACGTGGTATGGGTACCTTGACGCCGTCTAGATTAGCGTAGGTCAACGGGAAGACCAGGTGTGTAGGGTAGATGACGGTGATGCGCGAGTAGTACGTCATCGCCCAGACGTAGCTGTCGTCGTGGTCGTAGAAGAAGATGTCGAGGAACGGGAAGCTGTGGTCGGTGTGGTAGAGCTTCCAGTGAAAGCTGTTGGCTGGGATTAAAGTAAACCCCACGATACATGAGAGAATGTTTTTGGCCTGTTCCCAGTCCCGCACGCTTAGTCCTATGTCGATATCATCATCCCAGGGGACGAAACCCTGATGTCGCATCAGACCAAGAAGGTTCCCGTCGAGAAGGAAAAATTGTATCTTTGCTTTGTTTAAAACGTCAGCTGCTACCTTATAAATAAATAACGTTTCAATTTTCTGTTTTTGTGTCAAAACTGGTAAAAATCTCCCGTGGCCATTTAGAAATACTTTTTCTTTTGCCTCATCAGAATTAAGTTTTGGGTATTTGACAAACAAACTCACGTCGATATCTTTTACTTGAAGTTTAGTTTCATGCATGCTGTCGCATACCACTTTTTGCATGATAAACGGCCGTGTAGGTTCGCTGAAGTAGTGTATTTTAATCAGGTCGTATGTAGATATATCTTGCCAAGCTTTGTACATGGCAAATTGGAAGCAATAGTTACGAATAGGTAAAACAAATATAACCAAAAAAACTATTAGAGTTGAAGAGATACAAATCTGGAATTTTCGTTTCCATAAAGATGCGAATCGTTTGGAAGTTTTAATATAAAACATGATACAGTAAGTGGAATATTAAAATAAGTTTGATTTACCAAATTTTATTTTGCTATGTGGTATTTGCTGCGATCTTGCCAGATTATTGAAAGAAAAACCTTTTTTTACAAAATATATTATATATAATTTCAACAAATCATCTCAAACGGTGAGTGGTTTATGAATGTGCTTTCTTGACTTATCAATGTAGACCGCATTCAGCGTTATCACGTACATGAGACACCCAATACTTGAGTGGGTTTTTTTGTCGTTATTCTCTCCACCAAACTTGTTTGATGCTGTGAAAAAAAAAATTAAACAAACACTTAACTACAAAGTAGTGAATTAATTCAGCGTTGCTCTAATTTTTTGTCGAACATTACTAGAATTTGAGCGTACTATTCAAACTAAACCGAATAGCTTGTTAGCTAGCTGAACAAAGCCAATCATTGCAAATTCATACATTCAAAATATGTCAAACGGTTCATGGTTCTTTCTTCTGTAAAAGTGCAATCGCTGTTTACAACCTTTTATTTAATAATGCACTATAAAGGAGAAAATAAATTATACACTACTATTTTAATTAGTATAAACAAAAACCTAAACTTGAGATATGTTTCAGATAGATAAAAGAAATTTTACATATACGTAAAAGATATAATTCTCTGCCTCCTTTTAAATTTTCAGTGATTTCCGCTAATCGGAAGTTGTATTTTACTCTATATACGATTTCTCAAAAACGCATTAGAATTTATAAAGTACTAGTATTCCGCATGTACCACTCACAGTTACTTTTGTTTAACCCGTCAATGCGGTACATATTGTTTGCCGTTCACTCGGTGTGCTATTTTTTGTGTACGAGATTCTATTCTATATTTCAAATTTTAACTGATTAAAAATCATGAATAGATCCCGAGTTATCATCCCCCGTAGTGTTATATAAGAATATTCGAGAAAGTTTAGGGGAGATCACTCCCACTTTATTTTATTTATGTGTATTTGGTGATAAGAAATGCCTATATTGGGGCTATGATAAGAAAGTAATGTCGTCGGCCATAGAAGACGTAAATTAACCCAAGCTCACAAATGTCACACGTCAACACCCGTCAATAACCCTCGTTTTTTGGTCGTAACACATCGCTTATAGTCGTCCCACGTCGGCAACCTTCGTCATTTGTGGTCATTAATCGTCGTTTTTCAACACCTTCGTCTCAAAAAACATCCCGCACAAATGGAAATTACCAATTATAATTATCATCACTTTCGTAATTTCTATTTTAAATTACATTTCACGCTACGAATAATCCCACCCGCCCCCCTTGCGACACTTACAAAACTGGACCCAACACTCAATACCCCCTTTTACAACTAGCGTGACGTGAGTCAATATCGACCCCTAATCTGTAGTAGTATATTTACAGAGATCCCTATTTTAACTCGCGTTACTCTAGATACGGAAGGCGCCTAAAATAGCTTTAGTGACGCTAGTGACTTACGACCCTTAAGGTAACATTTAAGCCCATGTGAGAAAGATTGCTTAATGCGTTTTATGGGGCAAAAAATGAATCTTACGGTATTTCTATTTAATTTAGCGGTGGTGAATGGAAGAGGTGCTAGTTCGTAAACGAAATTTACAACATCATTACTTGTATTGCTTAATTGACAAAAACTATTGGAAGAGGAAGTTTTTTTAACGGCGCAATAAGCCATAAAGCCTTATCTTTTTTACAACTTTGGAAAAAAATTGTTTTTATATTAGTGTATTTGTCAATGGCGCTAAAGGGGTTAAAATCTATTTTCAGGCGGATTGTTGTTTACTTTTTCGTATTCAAAGTGAGGAGGAAGTATTGTAATCGTGCAAAAAATCGAAATCGAGATTTCAAATCTGGACGATTTACACCTCCATGAGAAGGAAGATCATAGTTTTGCTATTTTGTCCGTATGTCTGTGTATGTGTGTATGTCTGTGCATGTCTGTGAACACGATAACTTGAGTACCGTTACAGCTAGGTTGAGGAAATTTCATATATAAGTATTATATAAAATGTGTAGTTCTGTATCAACTTTTGAGCAATTTTCGATAACCAAAAGTGCAACTTATTCTACTTTTAGTTTTCAAAAGCCTATAACTTGAGTACTTGAGTCAGTAAAAAAATCTAATTCTCTGCATTATATCGAATTTTGTATCATTTCTGATGATCAGAAGTAATAAATTACGCTATTTCCGATTTCTGAAAAAAAGGTTTTGAATTTATCAAGTACTAATAATAATCCGCACTATTATACACATATTGTTTGCCGTTCACTTGGTGCGCAATTTTTTTTTCTACAATATTCTATTCTATTTTATTTTTAAAAGTTAATTAAAAATGGATTAAACTTTTGTCTATATTCCGAGTTGTCAGAAAAAAATGAATATGATTTATGTATGCATATCTGTCGAACGGCATTGTTTAACATACAAATGTAAACAGACCAGACAGGTTAAATAGAAGTGGGAGTGGTGCAATAGCAAATCATATGATCTAGTTTACTGTAGCTGCAGGGGCGGTGTCAGTAACTAACGTCAAATATAGCGCATTCGTTTAGTGGGACGTGTTCGTCTTAGTTGAATGTATTGGTCTCTATACGACGCTTCGTCTCAGTGGTAGTACGTATTAATCTAAATGGGACATTCTAGCCTGACATTAACGTACACGCTGTTTAGATAACCACACACCATGCTCTTTATTAAACATTCTCAAAAACGTCTATAGCCACTAACACACATAGATGATTACATCGGCATAACCCCCCCCCCCCCAAACGCAGTTCAAAGATCGGTGTCAAAAACTAACGTCAAGTATAGCGTATCCGCCTCAGTGGGAAGTGATAATCACGGTAAAACGCATCCATCAACCTCACTGATAATCAAACATTACTTTTTTTTTTAATTAAAAAAACCGAGAGTTATCTCCCTAAACTTTCTTGTATAAACCCGTTTAACAGTTATATGGGATTGCACGTCCAGTGCATTATTGTTATTGACGTGATTTTATTAATTTGTTTAGCACTTGAATTATTTAAATAGAATGAATCGATTAGAAAAAAAAAGAATTGCTTAGCAAATTAACACAAGCAATATGTGTATACTAGAGTGGAGAACGAGTAATGTGTAAACTGTAAAGAAAACATTGATTACATTTTATATGTTGAAAAACGTCAATTTAATTTTTGTTAAGTCACAATGCATAATCAGCAAGTCTCGACCTACGTGAAAAGTTTGAAAGAAAGTTTGAAAGAAATCAGTGCTCGAGAAGAGGTGGAAATTGTGCTTTCAAGTTTCCGTTCATCACGGACGACAGATAGATGTATCCATGTAAATTTTAAATGTTTTTTGTCCACTTAATTAAAAAGGTTCTCAAGTTATCGGTATTTTAGAAACCCGAAAAAGATAATTTTTGAAATTGAAAGTGATAATTGTTTAAGATATTTTACTTGTATAGGAAATATTGGTTAATTAACTGAGGCACTACTCAAATGTTTGCGTTTACATTACTTCCTCTATTTTCCGTCGGCTAAACGAGAAAGAAATAAACCGGGAGTGATCTCCCCTAAACTTTCTCGAATATTCTTATATAAAATAACAGGGGATGGGAAATCGGGCTATAGACATGATTTTTAATCCATTTTAAATACTTAAAGTTCTAAAAATAGAATATAATCTCGTAGACAAATTAATTGCACACCAAGTGAACGCCAAATAAAAAAGCGCATAATAGTGCGCAGTATTATTAGTACTTTTAAAATTTACATTAGTTTTTTTAGAAATCGGAAGTAGCGTAAATTGCTACTTTCGGTCAACGGAAATTACTCAAAATTTAACAGGAGGTAGAAAATTAGATCTTTTACTTACATGTGAAATTTCATTTATCTATCTGAAATAGTACTCAAGTTATAGGCTTTTGAAAAATTCAAAGTAGGAAAAGTACCACTTCCGGTTATCGGAAATCGCTCAAAAGTTGATACGGATCTACGATTTTGATAAAATACTTATATATGAAATTTCATCAACCTAGCTGTAACGGTACCTAAGTTATCGTGTTTACACACAGACACACACACACACAGACAGACACACAGACATACGGAAAAGATTGCAAAATTATGTTTTTCCGTATCAGTGAGGTGTAAAACGTCGAGATTGGTAAAAATCTCGATTTTTTTTTGCACGATTACAAGACTTTCTCTATACTTCGTATATACGAGAAAGTAAAAAAGTGCATCTCTACTTTCACGTCTAAAATTACGCGTTTGCAAACCTCTCTGTCATAACTTAGACAGACGTTCAAATTTACACACACGTATTTACAAACAATATCGCTATACACTAGTTTAAAAAATCTGTACATTAAAATCCCTACCCAGTTACACAAACGTCTACGCTATCTACACAGACGAATCAAGAATGTTATTCAAATGATAAGCGGCGAGGTTGCTTAGATACCAACAGCCGCGGAACTTAGAACAGATTTTTCTAATAAGTTTCTTTAATTCACAAAGTATGTTTGTCAGTTTTTATGTTTGTGGGGTGTGGCAAATCTGGAAGCGCAATTCTCACCCACTTATAATGCAGAGAAATTTTTTATACTTTCCAGGTAATAGCTTAGCTGGTGATTTAGTTGTTAAAACCAGCCTTGCATCTCTAAATTTTAAAAATCGTTTTTTATGTTAACTGTTGTATGAAAATTGCCCTCTTCTTGTAATTAAAATTGATCTCTGGACTGCAATTGTGAGAAAAAA